GGGGATTCGAACCCGCGTCCCTCAGATTGCGAGTCGAGTGCCCTAACCACCTGGCCATGCCGGGCCTAACAATGAGTTACATGTGTTTGATCATAGTATATTTATTATATATACACAATAGCTTAATAAAAACACAAGAATAAGCAAATTTCTGATTAGAAATATAGATGTACAATTTACATATGGTAGTCTTATACTTTTAAATGCCCTTAGAAAAAAAGAGTCTATAAAATATTTCTCTTCTTTTGCCATTAAATTGACAATGTTATAGACATCTGCTGATTTTACCCAATCTTTATTAATTTTTACAACACTTAGATAAAACAAGTAGAAACAAAAAAATGAGAACTCTGTGGTTAATAAAACAGCACTATTTGTTTTTATCATTATATTCACACTGACCAAAAATTTGGGTAATGTATATCTATAATATTTTTGAGGTACAAACATTAAAACAATTTTACAAAATTCTGAAATCGCTTCTGTCAAACAACAGATTTCTGCTAAACTTGTTAAGATATATTTGAAGTATATAGTTTTTGATGTATTATATTTTTAATTTAATTAAAAAAAATCTATAAATCCAAGTCCTACAAAGTTACTGAAAAAGTCTTTATCACCCAAATTGTATAGAAATTTTTTTTTATGGCAAACTTAAAAGAATTTAAAAAAATCATTATGAAAATTCTAAGGTAAGAAGTTTCATACCATCTTTTGCCAAGGCTTTTTGAAAACAGAGAAAATGTATATAAAACAAAACATAACTGATAACCACATCAACTTAATTTATGAGAATAGATATACAAAACTTTATGACAATATCATATTCATAATTACATTATTGGTGAAAATTAATTCTTAATGTGCTGAAAGATCAATTGCTAAGTTCAGGTCAGAGTTGTTGAATGCTCTGATTATCATACCTTCAAAAGCAAACTTAATAATTTGCATAAACCTCAGGCAAATATCACAAGTGTAACAGATATTACAATTATAATTCTGTCTATGATGTATTTTGTAAAATAAGCAAAAAAACTAAAACACTCATTTGATATATATAGCATCGTGACAGCTACATAATAAAAAGAAATAGAAAAACTATTTTGCAAAACGTTTTTTTATGAAATATGGATCACTTCCAGCTCATACCATAATGACATAATTTTCTCTTACAGGAAAGTATGTATAAATAACTTTCATCACCACAGAATTAATACCATTATTTTTTTTGTGTTGTAAAGTGTCTTTCTATATGGTTTAGAATGTAAAATATAACTGAGTTTTGGATAAGTTTTGAAGTTGTTATTATTTCATGTTATTAAACAAATGATATATATACATATATATTTATATTTATTCATATGTTACTGTTTTCTGAGCTATTAAACATGCTGATGTATTATGATCTGAAATAATTAAAAGTCAATTTGAAGAGCCATATTTATAAAGAAATCTGTGACTGAACTGGTTTCTAGAGTAAGCTGCAGTGATTGTTAATTAGGTGAATCATGGCATCCACACATTTCAGTCAGGAATTCATCATTTAAATGATAAAAAACCTTCTTCAATATGCAATGTTAATTTATAACTTGAATGTTAAAGATTTTATCATTTCAATGAACAAAAAATTTAATACCAAATATACATTAAAACTAAATATTTTCAGTCTTCAACATTAACGTTTCACAGCGTAGGAATTTCAAAAGCCATTATTTTGCCTATTGCAAATTCAATTTTACAGTATTGTAAATAACTAGTAATATTTTTATTTTAAAATAATATACTGTAGTTAAGGGTCTTACCAATATATTTCTAAATGAAAGCATATACTAATCAGATCAGAAGCCCAGTGATCTATAAAACAAAAATCTTATTAAAAAACTGCAGTATGTCATTTTAAAAAGTAAAGTATTCCAACTTACCTAGAAGTATATCCTCTAAAGCCCCATTATAAACCTCATCTTGCTTTAATAACCTTTTTTCTTTGACTTGTCGTGCTTTATTTTTCAGTTCATTAATTACAGCATCCTAGTGGTTAAGTACACAGTTAAGACACCACTTGGAATAATTACTTTTACAAAGTCAAACAGCAACTGATATACAAAAGATAAAATTAATCAATTAATACAAACAACATATATATGTATGAATATCTTTCTTTAGTGTTATTGTTACTTGGAATAATGAACAAGGCTGAAAATGATGTATATTTAAGGAAGAAAATAAATGCAAATATTGTAATTAACATATAAAAATGGTTATTATATCAATTCAAAATGATGTTAACTAAAGTGCAAGTTAGTTATTATATTTCAACTGATAACATATTATATTCCTTACATCACTCACAATATTAAGATCTATATTAGCTTTTTACCTGAGTGTTTTTTCTTGCATTTACGTAGTTTTTATTCTTTACTTTTTCTGGAGGATTTTGTTTTGCCTCCTTAGCAGCTTGTTCCTGTTTCCTTCTCTGCTCATTTTCCTGTTGTGCTTGCTTTAATGCAAGATTGTATACAATATGTTATATTTTACACATATGGAATCAGGAAATAAAACAGAAAAACATATCAAAAATTGAACCTTCATTAAAATACTTCACTTTTATTTTTTCACATTTGTATGAAAATGATAAGACACTGTCAGACCTAAAATGCCTCAAGAAATAAAGTCTTAACTGTTTGACACTTTTCAAATATTGCAATATTTGTTTCAAAAATATAATGAAAGAGAAATAAATGATGGTGTATACAACTTTCAAAGATATCTGATGGATGAAACCACTTCACTACAATTAACAATTATCTTGAAAATAACTTTTTAGAATAAATCCTACCTTGAATGCTTTTGAAAACCGAACAAAGAAAGTGAAGAAAGTGTTAGCAGCAACAGTTCGTGCACTTTCACCAAAGTACTCTACACAGTCAGAGTAGGCTTCCTACCAAAAAATTTTTAAAACATGTTAACATTTTATTGCTTCTGAATTCAATTGGAAAATTTTTTGTTCAGTCAAGTAGACAAAGAAAATGTTTAGTATAAGCCACAATTGTTTGCCAGCCTATTAACAGAAAAATTAACACTTAAAAAAAATCAAATATGAATTATACTAGGAAATGTGCAGAGTTAAAGATAAAACTAATGAGGTAGTCAAGAAAAGAAACAAAATGTAAAATTATGCCTACATAAAACTAATCTGCTATTTCATCAATTAAGCATTATTATAAAAAATAAGATGGAAAAGCAAGTCCCACAGTGGGTCAGTGGAAATTTGTACAGACTTACAATGTTAAAATATGGGGATCAATTCCCTGTGGTGGACAGAGCACAGACAGACATTTTTGCTAATACAACAGCCCAACCTAATTCCTGGACAAGCAAAATTAATTTCTTGCTCAAAAATGACAGTTTTTTATTTCTTTGTTTATTGTAGTTCTTACACTTGATGCCTCATTTGTTTTATCAGTTTTATATAAGGCCACATAATTTAATGTCTTACTGCTAAGTTCTTTTTCAAACAATAGGTAATTTTGCAAAAATCTGAAATATAAATCAAATATTGCCCCAAAATATTCTGTAGGTTGAGTTGACTCAAAGTCATGTATTAATTCAGCCTAAAATAAAACTTATTGCTTTTGGTGATGTTACTATCTATTCCCTTTGTAGGTTTTTTAAAACTCGATATAATGTTACATTTTTTGCTCAACTGTTACAATCCTTTGTTTTCTTACATCATATTCATCATCTTTTAGTATCACTCAAAAAATATGTACCACTTTTAGGCCTACTACTCTTATACAATTTATTTGTCTTTACAGCCAGCAGGTATTCAAAACTTATTTGGGATAAATCTCTGGACTTCTACAACAGCCACCACTTGAATATTTTGGGATTAAAGAAAGGGAAACCTCTTGTGCAAGTGAAAGCATAGTTGATCCTCTTTTTTCTTTTTTAGTTTATTACAGCTAAACAGCAATACACAGCTGCAGAAATAAAGTTGTGAATAGGCCCATGGCACATTTTGTAGTAAACTTCATAAATAAATCAAATACAATTAAACATAATTTCTTAGCTACAGTTTAAGCAATACACAAATACAAGCAATGATTGGATACAAATTCTAATATTTATAATAAATATAAGTAATGACAATGAATTATATTTTTTTTGGTAAATGGCCAAGCAAATATTTATGAAAGAATAAACTGTAAAAGTATTGTTAAGTCTCTGTTTGTTTGTTAATTTCCTATCTAATTTCTTTCGGATGAAACTTTAGCGATACAAGTCCTTTCTTAAATAAAACTAGTTTATTCTTTCTCAATACAACTTTGCAATACACTTAATTTCCACAGTCACTTTAACTTAAACACACGCTATAATTCACAATGATTCATGCACTTTACTTATGGTCACTACCGTGCTTGACTCAAGTGTCCGTCTCTATCTCTGCCTGTCTGCAATTATCTATATTGTTACTTCTTGCCAGTCTTATATATACAAAAAATAGAAGGTGTCTGGCAAACAGCAGAGCTGCCAAGAACAGTGATGATCCTTCTAGAAACCCATGACGTGTCACCAGCGTCTCGTGACTTCCATTGTCATAACAACGTTAACAAAAAAAAATTACAAAATTGGAGTCCCAGAATTTATCTCAAACTTCTGGGAAGTTACATATATTATCCTCATGAAGATATATGGTTTTCACAATCTTCACAACATATCACATAACCACTACAAAAACTTGAGAATTTCTCTGTGATGCATGACATGGATAGTCAATTAAGGCAAATACATCTGTTCATGGTTACAAAAATTATTGTAATTGCTATAAATATTGTGGCCTAAGTCACACGTATAAACCACAAAGAGGTATCTTGCTGTATATAGGCCCTTTGTCACAATGTATCAAAAGGATTATTAAATTGTAATAATGTTAAATAATTAGTGTCTTTAGTCACTTAATTGTTTTAAAGTGATCAAGCTTTCATCAGGTTTTAATTCAGAGTAATCATGTTTTATTAGTCTATAAACAATATATTTGTCATCAATCTTTGTAACTACTTACATTTGTCATTAGCTTTTACATAAATCTCTTTGACTATTTATGTTGAACAATTACCACAATAAATTACTGTTAAAATACGACAAATTCTGATGTTACCAGCAATGTGATTACAGATGTTCCTTGCAGTATTCTTAATACAATCTTGGGATTTTAGAACACAGAGTATCTTAATACTGTGGAGGATTGAACCCAAAGGATCTGCTAGCTCCCCTATTATATGAACTTCATTTTAACAATGATACACTTACTAAAAATATAAAAGGAAACAACAGCAAACTTTAAGATTAAATGATTACCCAACTTACTTGTGCAGTTTTTGTGTTGGCTTTTAATTTCCTTAACTTCTCTTCATTGTTTAATAGAAACTCTCTCAAGACAGCAGCATCTTTAGCATCACCACGAAGAGTAAGCTCTTTCTTACACAACTCTAGCCCCTTCTCCAACTCGCTGACATCTATCTGGATGTTCTCTAGAGAGACTTATATGAAAGAAAACAACACATCAGCAACCTATCATGTCTTCCTTTGAGGATTTGTTAGGCAGCATTTGGTTCATAAATAACTTTTTTATTACCAACATGGGTGCATGTATCAAAATTTTTTGCCTTATATTGCAATTTTTATTAACATGGGTACATTTTCATCAAACACCTTATAATAATCAATTACAAATTTATGATTAAGTAATTTTCTCCACATGTCACAATAACGAGAGACCAATAAAAATCACCTTGGCCATCTGTTTGATATCTTAGTAAGACACGAGTTAACAGATATTCTTCCTTGTTTAGAATTAACTCGGGAACAATGTTTCTATACACTTGCCTGATGAAGGCAAACATTCTAATTTTAAAAAATCATACGACACCATGGTTCGTTCATTCATTCGTGAAATGCAAATGGATTTCAACAAGATCTCTACCATTTGGGACTCAACTTCACCAAAGATTAATGCTCTTTAAACAAGATCGTGTGAATCTACAAAATTTAGAACATGTTACCCATGCTATATTTATCTTAAATATGCAAGTTCACTTGTAAAATACTTTTTAGCTACAATTTAGTGGGTATAATGAATTAATCTGTTACCTAATTTATGGCTGGGATATTGAACATAGAAGGATTTGTGTTATAAAATTTTTATAAGGAGTGATTCTCTCAAAGACTTTGCAATGTTTATTAATATTTGTTTCAAAACAAAATAAACTGCCATGGGCTGAAAAAACACATGCTCTATACAACCAAAATTCAAAATTGCTTTTGTAAAACAAATTTAACTTTAAGGAAATATCCACTAACATTAAAATTTTATTTCTGAAAAATGTTCTCTCATTACCTTCCTACTGTTACATAATTCTAAATTAACTCCCACCCACCCCTCTTGAAATAGTTCCTTCATATCAGTATAGTTTTCATTAATAGAAATTTAGCTTGGGTATAAGATGCAATTAAAGTAATGAAACTTGTTTTGGTGTTAAGCACAAAGCTACACAATGGGTTTTTAGAGTTATGTCTTCGGACTTACTGCTGAACTACTGGGGGGCATTTAAAGTTGTAATAAGTATAACAAAAATACAAATCAGCTTTTAAAAAATAATGGTTTTAATTAAGTCTGTTTAAGGTAATTGGTTTTAATACCATATAACATAAAGGTTTACCTCCTGCAGCTTTCTCTACAAATCGTAGTTCACATTCAAAACTGACAACATCTGGAAAATGATTCTGGACGGTATCCACTATGTAATGAAGTAAAGAAATTTTCCGGTCTGCTGACTTTGTATCCCCTAGCTAGTGATACAAAAACTATTACTTACAGGGTAGATACATATTTGGTTACTAAAATATCAGATGAAGATGAAACATTGTTTACATAAATGATATGTTTGGACTTGAAATTTTTTATTACATTGTTATGACAGCGGAAGTCACATGATGCTGGTAACACGTAATGAGTATCTCAAAGGTTCCTGAAGGCTCGAGTGTTTGCCAGATGCCTTCTATTTTGTATATATAAGACTGGTAAGAAGTGACTGCAAAAAGAAAGGCAGAGATAGAGATGGACAATTGAGTCAATTACCGTAAGTAAAGTGCGTGAATCATTGTGAATTATAGCGTGTGTTGAAGTTAAAGTGACTGTGGAAATTAAGTGTGTTGCAAAGTTGTATTGAGATAGAATAAACTAGTTTTATTTAAGAGAGGTTGTGTCACTAAAGTTTCGTCCAAAAGAAATTATACGAGAAATTAACAAACGACCAGAGAAGTAACAACATCATGTATTTTTACTATATCATTATCTTTTAGGAACTGGATATCAAGTTCAAGTACATAACTATTTCATTCCTCTTATCATGCTTTTAATAAAGTTTTTTTTCAGTTTTGCAAGGTTTATTATTATGAAAATTAGGTCCACCCATTAACATCTAAATATACTCCATTAATACTTAGACATTGTTGCTTTTATAATAACATAATATTGCTTAACCCTTTTACCCCAAGAAGTTTTTTTTTGGGGGGGCGGCATGGCCAGGTGGTTAGAGCGCTCGACTCGCAATCTGAAGGTCGCGGGTTCGAATCCCCATCACATCAAACATGCTCGCCCTTACAGCTGTGGGGGCCTTATAATGTGACAGTCAATCCCACTATTCGTTGGTAAAAGAGTTGGCGGTGGGTGGTGATGACTAGCTGCCTTCCATCTAGTCTTACACTGCTAAATTAGGGAAGGTTAGTGCAGATAGCCCTTGTGTAGCTTTGCAAGAAATTCAAAACAAATGACAAATGACTTATTTTTTTCATGAGAATCATGACAGCATTAAATTTTAAAGATTTATGACTGACTTTCCCTCTCATATCACCTACAAAGTGAAAGTATAAAATACTTAGAATATTGCTTTGATAAAAATTTCATTAAAGTTTGTTATGCAGAAAATGTTTTAAAAATCCAAACTGTTACTCTAAATCAAATTTTTTGCCCCTAGTTCTAATTTTCATTTGGGGAAAAGAATTACTTAAAATACCTCTATGCATAGATAAAACTTGTCAATATATGAAATAAAGCTGCAAGTTTGTGGTCTTCATACATGTTTTTTGCTTATTTCTTACTTAAATATTTTAAAATTTATAGTGTCAATTCAAATTCTAAATTTCAACCAATTATACTTTTTAATTTAGAAATTTCAAACTTCTAAGGCTAATAAAATCATAAAAATAACATCTTAAAGCTGGAAGTTTTTTTTCTTTCTCACAATCTATTTACTGTATAGCTTCATTTCTTCCTTGTTGGATTATAAAGTTTTAAATATTTGGTTACTATATCAAAAGTTTTTTTGTTTTTTTTTGTAACAGGGAGAAACATTATTTTATTGTTTTCTCTGTTTGTTTATTTTGTGAAAGTAATTACTTTGGCTGTTGCTTTTTGCTTTATCATTAGGTAGATCCACTTTACAATGAGAGGACCAGAAGGAAGAATTACAAAGCAAGTCTGAATGTAACTAAACGAACTGCATTGAAGCAAATAAATAAACAGACTGGACATGATGTGTTATACAACTTATGTCAAAGACAAAAACACAGTGTATGTACTTGGTTTAGGACACAGGATAGTTGCCTTTTACTGGACTCATGAAATGATTACCTAGTTTTTTCCCTCAAGATATCTTCCCATCAACCAGCACTTGAGATACTGTGTAGTACTGCTTAAATCTAACACTTCTTACTACATGGGAAATGTTAGATTTACTCAGTGGCACAGCAAGGGTTCTCAGCACCAGGATGCAAAGACACTTTTGGCACCCCCACCTCTGAAATGTTTTGATTATTTGTTTTGTGACTCATTACCTACTTAATCACAATAACATAAAGAATCAATTACCACCTTACACAGGCCTAAAATAAAGTCACAATATAACATCTCACAATATCACAACTGTAAACCTGGAACTAATGAAGTATAGCCTACTAGGTGTGCTTACATAATTTGTGAACCATTTTGATATTTATGTCATCCAGTATTGTTCAAAGTCACATAGCGAGAGTAATCTTTCAAGCATGCAGAATAAATTTCTGTTATATCCCTAGTTTTGAAACTTATGTTTTATAGGAGAAACCAGTCACTTGTGGTGTGCATGGATTATAAAACATATTGATAAAATACAACTTAAGTTTACAAATAACAAATTTTATTAGTTTGCAAAATTGTACATATACTTAACTAGATCTTGTACAGGTAGCATTCTGGTATTCATGGTTATATTATATTGTTGCGTCATTGAGATCACGTGACTATTCTCATGCCCTCTAGTTTCTAGAACTATCCCGTATCTTGGCGAATGCTCTAGTATTTTCTAGATAGGGTAGGCTGGTATATAAAAGAGGGGAATGTAATGTGTGTATAG